CATATCTCAACAACATTTACCGCACCATGAAAATTTCCATATCATGCTTTGGAGATTTCTTTACAGTTCAGCGGATTCGACGAGGTTCAACCAGGTTCGTGAGAGTAAGATAGACTGTGGGAAAATCGCGGGCCGTATCTCACAACTTCTCTCAATGTTCCTCAATGTTCCTCAATGTTCAGACTGCAGACATGCAGAAGCCGTATCAAAGCTCAATCGTGTCCATTCTATTTTTATATTCATTGAGATATTGATGAAATAAATCTCTGGTGTGCTCACTCTACATTTGTTTCGTCAGACCGCTTCTTGATATAAACAATTGAATTTCAGATGATGACGTGAGGATCACATATACAGGGTGTCCGGAGATAAAACCGACAAAACTTATGGGGTTATAAGGATTGTCAATATGATTACAGAATGCCATGAACGAATACCCAAAACCACTTTGTTACTGATATACAGAGTTATCTGTGGATTTTGACATAAAATTCAATCCACCATATCAAATAAAGGGATTAACCGATTAGATTCGAATTTGGTACACGAATCACACTGAAGGGCATCAACAAGTAGGCCTTTGATCGAAACCAATATCAGGACCGGAATAATATTTTTTCCCTATGTTGAGTTATTGTGAGAATGGCTCACCCTGTATAATAAAAACCAAAAATTTGAACTCAGATTCGAAATCTAAAGTGAAAATCGTATATGAATTTGATGAAGAATCTTCTGGCACTATCTTAGTTATTGTAAATTGTGAATTGTTAAGCCACATGAGACGGGTAGGAATTGTGGTGCTGGATGGTAGGTACATGGAAAGAGCAGGTTGTGGAGATGAGGGTGTGGTCAGAGTTTCCAAGTTGGGCACAAACTTCTATTCTATATGGATCTGGTGAGAAAAAGATCTAGTGTATTGGCAGACTGGTTGTTGACATCTGGAATGCGGGTTGGTAGTTCGACTAGTTGTTCTAGACCATGAGTAATGACGAAGGCCTCAGTTTGACGACCTGCATCATCTGTTTTGTTAGAGAATTTGAGCTAGGCTGCGTTGTGTACATTGAAGTCTCCCATGATCATGATTTCAGCTGGTTGATGGTTCTCCTGAATGAAGTCCAGTTTGAGTGATAAAAACTCAAAGGTTGTTATATTACTATCAACAAAACCACATCGTTTTATTGAAATTGATGGAGAGACAATTGAAAACTGAATAGAAAAAAGATTATTCATGGAAATATTAATACCCTGTATCTCGAAAACGAAGCAAGTTAGGACAAATGATTATATGAACTTTATTTCCTAAAATATCACAAGGAATCACCCCTTGAATTTTTTCGGTAATATTCAGATACACCCTGTATATCTCAGCTATTAAAAGTGCGATGTCTACCAAATTCGGACGGTATGTATATGAATAACCATCAATATGATCAGTTTTTCAGAGACGAACATCCTGTTGGACAGTGTCGTGCTTTTTTCTGTAAGACCAATATTAACTGGGATAATTATTGAGTAAAATATAACCGATCACCCTGTACATACACTTATATGGGTGTTGTTTGCCCCTTGTTGAAAGCATGCCATATCATTCATCACTTCGATCGATATATCGAGTGGTATATGCTTACGTTGAGTACTGGTGATGGAAAAACGATGGTCTGTATAATATGGTGTGTTTATGAATATTGGGGACATCAAATGTCCATTCAACATACAAAAAACAGCACCACGATGAATCACAAAATCTATGAACAAATTCATGCCAAATATTGAACATCATCGATATGATCGGAAAATCCTGAAATGATTCGACAATCTCAAACCGCATCGAAATGAATCTAGAGGATGGCTCACTTAAAAATATCGATTTTTTCACGGTGGAAGGCATACTGAAATAAACACAGGGTGGTTCAGAATTAAGGTTTTTGACCACCCTGTATCTCTTTCAATCAAATGTCAATTGATAGTACTTGAAAAGTCAAGATAGGGACATGGAAACCGTTTTGTCCAATTATGAATAGTTTCGACACAAAAATTTCTAAAGATGAAAAATTTCGATTTTTCACACCCTATATCTTTGTTATCATTCCCGTTAGACCCCAAGTGTAATAAGTCGATGAAATCAGCTCTTTAGGAAGAATCTAAAAATGGAATAATATATAGGGTGTCCCATAGCCCATAGCTCTCTTGAGCGAACCACATCAGCCATTGAAAACACTTGGGGTTTGCAAAAAGGTCCCATTAGGGACTAGTTGCTGACGTGGAAACGTCCCCCACCAGTACCAGTACCAGTAGGGTGTCTCATTCAAAAAATCAAAGATGTTGCTACTTTTCAATATAAGCGGCAACGTCGCAGTGATAGAACACAACTAATTATCCAAGAGACCAAATTTTCAGTATAATCCTACGTTGCGTTCTCCAGAAACATTTAATGTGCCATCCACCGTGAATTAGCCTGTATATTATGACATGATTTCTATATGTATCCTCGTATATTATAATCCTTAGTGTACCTATACTGAATCTCAAAATTATAGCTATATTTATACGTTTCAACAATATTTAAATATGCAAGATTTTCGTTAAAAACACGTAAACGTCGACGTATCTCAATAAAAAAGTATCAGATCATATTGAATTCATAGAAAGAGATGATATAGTGTTTCATCTTGTTCTATCTATTCCTGAAGCCTGATAACGTATTAGTCATTAAGACTTAATCAACTCGATTGGCTCGGACTTCACTGGAAAGATTATTATCATCATCAGCAAGAATTTACACAGAATTCCCACAAATCCAATTTCAACCAACCGTAAATACGCCCTTTAGCGTCTCTGGATTAAGAAAACAAACGACTCGCTCATTCCAAGTCCCCCTTTTTCTACTACCGCGTTCTTCCAGATGGGCGGTAAGGACAAATCATCGAATGGGTCGCAGATTGTCTCCAGGGAGATGAGATTTTCCCGAGATTTTCAGGATTTTCTGAATTTCGTCCGCCGCTTGTTCGAGCAAAATGGTTTTTGTTCACTTGGAAGTTATTTTTATTCATGCGAGAACTCCTTATTGAGAATGCGGAAATGCAGAGAAACTTCTTTTTTCCTAAGTTAGTCGACTCGAGCATCAAATTTTCGCGGGTTCTAGGAAAATTTTATAACGAGAATTGTCAAGTGGCGGCTTTCGAAAAGTTTCCAAGCAAGCAGTTTTCTTTACAAAATGAGTACTTCGGGATATACTGGTGCATAATAATCGGATTTCCTAGATACATTAGGTGAAAATTTGTACAAGCTGCATACACATAACTGGTTTTTCAGATGGAGAAATTTTCATTTCGTGTGAATATATTTATTAAAAAATCGCAAAGCGCTGTAAGCTGTCAAGCCATTATCAGTGCAATATTGCAACTGAGTAATATTGAGTGAAATAATCATAATCATAATATTATGAAGAGTTGTAGATTACTACTATCTCGTCGACAATGTATAAAAAAGTCAGAATAATTATAAGCAACATCAACATGTGGTACAAACGGTATTGAGAAAAAACAAACCTTAGCTCCTCATATAGGAATCAAGAAATCCACTATAAGCTGTAGGTCCCGATCAGGAAAGCCTTCAAGATTTACATACTTGCTTGATCTGTATCTCATTCATTCTCGGGATGTGATTGATTGGATAACTTGTTTATGAATAATCACGGCCAGCAATACTTTTTTCTCTCACACAACGATATTGTCTACCTTCAGTCGATTACCGAGCCAAACACAGTGGAATATGGAGAAATAAACTATTACTATTGAATATGGAGAGAATCGCTATTATAATTAAATACTGTCTGTAGGTCAATCGAGGAGGTGATATATTCATTTTACTTGATTCTTTCGGATTTTCTCTCCTCGTTTCTATAAAATAAAAATATTCGTATTATTTCAATATATTTGTAGTGGGACAAATCAGATGATTCGCCCCAAAATGTCACTGCGTTTAACAAATTTGTCTATCAAGGAGTCTAAAAAATCCAGTAGCTTGTCAGTGACAATTTGTTTGAAAAAATGTTTGAAGGGAAGTTATATAGATATATTGAAAAAATATCGAATTTTTACTTATCTTCGGACGTTTCGGAACCGAATCTGCTCCCGTTCTCAACATATAAATGCAATAGTATATTATGTAACAAGTGTTATAAACGTCCTTTTAGTAACGAGTAGTTTGAGCACGAGCGGAGCAGAGCGGAGCGAGTGTTTAATAAACGAGTGTCTAGAAGAGTTTATAAACGCGTTACATTTACATACTATGATTTTTCTACGAACTCCAAAAATTACATTAATTAACATACCTGCTATTCCTGCTAACCTACAAAATAATTCGAAAGGAATGGGAATTGAAAACATAATACATACAACTGCATGCAACCAGCGAGACACGTATAAGTGATATTGGTTGTAGATCTGTCCAGTCCATTGCTTACTAACCTTTGTTTCACGTTTAATTTTGCTTTGCTTTCGCTCGGCTTCGCTAAACGCTCCGCCTCGCAAATGCAAAATTCGCTTGTCAAACAAAGTGTCACTTTTGATCCTAATAAAACAATCTACTATTGTTTTATACCTACGATATTCATTTATTTTTGTACTTTAGCCTAATTTTGACGTTTTTTTCTTAAACTGTATGTTTTTGAAACAAATAAATCTATCTATCTATCTATCTATCTATCTATCTATCTATCTATCTATCTAATGAGTTACAGGATGCTTTCATTAATTGATCTTGAATCTACTACCACTCAGTGCGGAAAAGTGACTTTTTCAACACTGAAAGAAGTGCGGAAAAGTGACTTTTTCAACACTGAAAGAAGTGCGGAAAAGTGAACTTTTCCGCACGTTAGTAGAAAAAAGTTCTTACAGGTTAGTCTACCTCATTTTTGTTTTTCTATCAACTGTCAAAATTAATGACGTTTAACCTGGACCACCCTATATGAGATTTCGTCTCGTATAATATCGACTCACCCTGCCCACGAAGAACCGCCTGTAGCACTTGGCCGTGTCGTCCGTCTCGATCTTGGCGCGCCACGTGGGCGGCGGCACCACTGGCCGCCCGCGATGGTCCTTCAGGTCCTCGTGGTCGGTGCCGTCCACCCAGTACCCGCCCTTGGGCGGCACCGCGATCATGGGCCGGGGGCCAGGCCGCGCCAGGATCTCCTGCAGCAGACGCTTGGACTGGGCGGGCGGGTGCGGCGACGAGGGCGGGGTCTGCACGGGGGCGGCAGGGGCGGAGAGGGGCGGCACCTTGAAATAGTTACGAATGATCGAATATTATCTATACGAATAATATGTTTGTTTGTTTGTTTGTATTGAATAGGCTCCGAATCCACTGGACCGATTTGGAAAATTCATTCACCATTAGAAGCCGATATTATCCCTGATGAACATAGGCTATATCTATACTAATATGTTTTTGGATGTATGATAAATTGATATCCATCATACAGGACGTGGAAAGAAATTCTGAATTGAGAAAACCTAATCATGAATCTGCGATTGAGGTCTATGAAAATAACAAGATTCCATCGTTCAAGTTTGAACCCCTTGAAAAAAAAAACATATATACATTGAACTCGAGATTGAACTACATCAAACACGATGAGAATTTGATAACAAAATCTTCTGATGAAGTAGAGAATTTGCATTCTCCTTCATATAAAGATATGCACAAAATATCATTCTGAATATTCAACAGAAAAAACTACTCTCCTGTCTATTTGCCACATCGAACATTGAATTATATATCTATTGAACATCCAAAGAGAGCATGAAGAATAAAAATCTTCTGAAATAGAGAATTGACATTATCTCTCAAATCGGATAAAATAATATAGTGTATTATGGTATAAATATATATAACTCACCAATGATGTTCAGTATTGAAATGAAAATTGAAATGTATAGGAGAAGTATACTTGCATAAACTCTGATCTTGATGAGCTTGAAACTTCAAAAAAAAACATCGTATCAGTGATATGGGAATTATATCTCTCACAAATAGGTCATATGACTTCACTCGAATCAACTCATTTCGGATATTAAATCCTCATTAGTAACCTGAAGTCCAGTTAATCTTCCAGTCACTCTTCATGATTTATGATATACACAATTTTCATCTCCCTATGCAATGCAATTGTTTTTGGATGTATGATAAATTGATATTCATCATACAGAATTATCAATTATATTATGTGTATATACATATCTTTATATGGAGAAGAATGTAAATTCTCTACTTCAGAAGATTAGATTAGATTAGATTTAGAATGGGGCCTTCGAGCTATCTGCCTCCACACTGCGACCTTTTCAGATCTATTGTGTCTCCCCTCAAAATCGATTAGAATTCTTCGGCTTGCCCCGCCTTCTCTATGAGACTCCATAGGCTAGCTTTCAGATTTTCAGTGTATCTCTGGGCTCCTGGTTTTTCCTCACCCAGCGTAAGGAACCTTAGTCTTGACAAGCCCTCACAGTGGCAAAGTATGTGTACTGCTGTTTCTTCCTGTTCTTGACAGAACCTGCACAGCAGTTCTTCAGTCAGACCTATCGTACTCATGTGTTTGTTGAGCCTACAATGTCCTGTGAGAAGTCCTACTAGTATTCTAGTTGAACTTAGTTTCTGGCTTAGTAGATATTCTGTGAATGTTGGCGATGGTTTCTCAATAAACTCTTTAGTTTATTGAGAAACTCATTCCTGGCGAGTTGTTCCACCATTCTGGAGATTTGGTTTGCATCCATGATTTGATACTAGTCTTTTGTATAGCTTTCGCAATACCACAGAAGGGTTCTGGGCCATTAAGAGCTTTGTTTGCTCCTGCTCGGGCAAGTGAGTCTTCCTCTTCATTGCCCTCGTACCCTGTATGTGCTGGTACCCATGCTAGAGTCAATCTGTTCTGACTGCCCAGTGCATTTATGGTTTCTAAGCAGTCCCATACTAGTTTTGAGTTAACTTGCATTGAGTTGACTGCTTTGATTGCCGCCTGGCTATCTGAATAGATTGCAATGGTTTTTACTTCAGAAGATTTTGTTTTCAAATTCTGATCGTGTGTGCTCAATAGATATAATTCAATGTTCGTCGTGGCATTATAGCCAGGAAAGTTTCCTGTTGAATGAACCAAGAAAGAATTGATATTTTCATCACATAGAGAATGCGAATTCTCAATGTATTTCTTTATATATATATATATCCATTTTTTATGTTCATAATTATATCAGAGAATATTCCTTTTCAATACATTCACCCAAACAAGTAGCTGAAACTTGAACGATGGAAACTTGTTGTTTTTATAGACCTTCATTCGCAGATTCGTGATTTGGTTTTCTCAATTCAGAATTTCTTTCCACGTCCTGTATGATGAATATCAATTTATCATACATCCAAAAAAAAAAGATAGAGTATGTTTAAGTAGGTATCACGTAGGTATCCTAATACTACCTTGACATTGTTGTTGGTGGAGAGGGAGCGCTGCAGGTGGTGCTGCTCCTCTTTGGAGGGGAATTGCTGCTGCTGCTGTTGCTGTTGGTGCTGTTGCTGTTGGTGCTGGTAGTTCGGGTGCTGAGAGAGGATGTCCTTCTCGAAGACGGAGGACTGGCTGAGTTGGCGAGAGGCGGGAGGAGGCTGAAAAAAAAACACCGAATTGATAATCATCGAAGCAACATTCTATTCCTCCTTAGACGATTCCATTGAAGTAGATAATATATTCGTTTATTTCTCAAGTGACTCCTGATTCATACTTTCATTAACGTAGCGTAACGCAGTACTTCCGTTTCACGATAGAAGATGAAACATAGGATTTTTTCCTACGAGCGTGCGGAAATAGTGTATTATTCAACCAGCTCGACCTACAGTCTCGCAATTTTTTCATGTCAGTTTTTCTCGTAAAATTACTGATCGGCAAATGTTTTTCGTTACCCAGAGAAATTTATCCGATAAAAATAAGCTCGTGTGTTTTTACTGTTGATGAAAACGTTTTGAGCATCTCAATAAAACACTTTCTCTCTGCCACAGTTGATACCATCACCAGATGCATCTTTATTTTATATTACTCATTAAGTTGGTATATGTAGGTATCTCGGTATATAGGTATCACAAACATTTATCAATGGTACTAATAGTACTAAATATAATGGCATTTAAAACACTCATTACTGCTTGAAGCATAATAAAATAAAACTTTTCAAACATATGCTACAGTGGAATATAGGTTAGAATCGAAATCTGCGCTATGATAATTGAAATGAGTAAAACATCGACAATATAAATGAAAGCATCTTACAGTTTCAAGTCATCAAAGAAGTGAATGTAGAATACTTTGAAATAGAGATAAAGGCGACTGGATTTAGGATCGCAGCGCCAAAGTGCATTGTTTTGAAATGGTTCATTTGCTTGTGTGTTTTAGTTGGATTTTGATAGTGATTTGAGCAAAGAAAATTGTTCATTTGTGTACTCTTGTGATTCGAGGGCTTTTCAGCAGATATTCGTTCAATAAAGTATGTTTCACTACTTGAAATACATAAGGTTCGCAAAATGAAAATGCTTCAATTTACGTTAGTTTGCATTATTACCATTCAGTAGTGAAATGAATATTGCAAATTAGGTGGAGTGAATATGATTCCACAAAGTAGTTATTTGAGATGTATGTCTTGTATATTAGTCGATTTATCTACTTACAAGTGTTTATGAAAGAGAAAAGGTCATCAAAGCTGGATGTATCTGCAAAAAATTCATCTACCTAGAGGAAAAATTGAACATAATAAACTGCTCAACACATGAAACGTAAAATCGCATTTTTTCGATCAAATTTGAATCATCATAACTTTCGATTTCCTCGACCGATTTTCAATTATTTTTCAGTTTCTGAAAGCTCGTTTCATTGACTATCAAACATATGGATATGACTATTTCATCTTTTCCGGATGCGATTCTACAGGATGATAATCAAAGCTGTATTTGTGTGTATTTTTCCGAAAATTTCAAACGCCTCCTGTTTGAAAGAAAAATTTTTCTATTTTTTTTCGGGATCAAAAACATATTGCTTTATATGTTTCCTCGATACTGTAAAGGAATTGTTGGAATTGTCAAACGCGTTACTGAAATATGAATGTTTCATTAAGATAATGCATAATTTGTTGCTCTAATTTCTATTGGCTTTGTGTTCCTGTCAATCTGGTTCTAACGGTGGTCCAAAATCTTGAAATGATGCATGATCAACCTATTCTTATATACAAGGTGGTCCTCAAACAACAATTATGACATCAAGTAATAAAAAAAACCTGTTTCGACGAGCAAGAAAATTTCGAAGCAGGAAAGCGATTGAGAAGTTTTCTGGTGATCAAAGTGTGTAGGAGAGGTTGTCATCACCATCATGTCAAGTTCCTACAGAGTCTACTGCAAGATCGAACCACTGGATTTGTTAGAAAAACCGGATTTTCAGAGCGTCGATTTCACTTTGTGATAGATTTTTAGAAGATAATTTCAAGGCAAATGAGAAATATACAGGATGTCGTCTAAATAGAAAAAGTTGCTGCCGTTCTGCTGTTCATCACAATCGCAGTAGATTAACGAGTATCAGGATGTGATTTCATTTGCGGTGAACGTCTTCTCAAACGGACTTATATTGAATAAAGGAGCTAAAGTTCAACTTTAGCTCCTAGGAACTAAATATGTTGCCTAGCAACAGACCTATTTTTGTGTCAATAATAGAAACGCCAATTCAAGAGCTAATATTGGTATCAAAATGGACGACTTGTGTAGCCTGCAGAAAAAAGTAATTCTCGACTATGATCTCATTGTTTTTGTATATCTAAACAAATGTCCCAATTTGATGATGGATGTATTGCAACTACTAAAAATTGCTTCATCGAAATCATAATCGATGATTCACTAGACTCTCTTATATCTCCAAGCAAATGCAAATTAGAAACTACGATGAATATGTTTTTACAGTTACGACGACCCATTGTTATTTCCACGAGAGAAGCCGTAAAAGTAAGTCAATCGGCCATGGAGAAAAGCAACATGACATCGTATTGAATATCGGATGAACCTGATGTTTCTTGAAGATTCTTATCTTCGTGAGATGTATACCTATACGTTTTTTTGTGAAAATGAGAAGAATGAGACGAGAACAAGTTGAATAGGAATCTCTGGTAGTAGTCCATGCTCAAAAATGGGCCTGTTTGTGTTCCAGTGAAAAATTTTATTTCATTATTCCGAAGTACTAACTCATACTATACAGGGAGACATTTTGAAAACTTTCCGTCAATTTCTTCCTTCCAGTGAATAATATGAGAAATCGAAAAAACAGGTCGATTTTATTTTCAAGGGGGACACTTGAAATTTTTAGCTTTAGCCCTATTGGTTCAACCCCCTTGGGTGTTAGCAACAAATGCCCAGCTACAGCTATTTAAATCAACAAGGTGAAGTTTGATATTTTTTTTCAAAAAAACATGTCAATTGGTTCACTGTGTACCATCGTATGGAAACAGTGAACATTTGTTTTTGAAAAATTCGATAAATTCGAATGTCAAATGGGAAGGGGGATCAAGTGGCACATCATTTTGAAGGGCATTCGATTCTCTTTCCAACGGTACCATAGTTCATCATTTTCTGTTGAGCAGTTTCCAAAAAATGCCGTGTCACTTAGAAAAATTCCCACGCTTAATATCTTCCTTAAAGTAAATGATATGAAAAGTCAAAAAGACATGTCAATTTCATTTCCATAGTAGACACTCAAAATGCATATTTTTAGCCCTCTTAGTTCAACCCCCCAGGAGGAGTAGATGCTACCCCTCGTGCTACCCTTAGAACATCATATGAAAAGGAGGGCCAAGATGCAAATTTTTTTGAAGGGCGTTCAATTTTCTTTTCAACAGTACCCTAGTTTTTCATTTTTTGATGAGCAGTTTTCGAAAAATGCCGTTCTGAACTTACAGAAGTAATTAGAACATACCTGAAAATATTCTGATTTTCCAGGTCATTCTCATGCAACTTTGCATATTTCTGGGGATTCCATGATTTTACCAACATAATTATTATGTTGGCAGTATCGTATTGGCCAGAAGAAAAAGTTATAACCTAACCTAGCTTTTTCATTTATCATTACTTTAAACCTACAACTGAAAATCATCAAGTAAAACAAAGTTGAGTGTGGTTGATTGATGTTGGAATTCAAGTTTCCCATTTTTGTATTTAACCATGTTTTTTTCCTTCTATTCCTTCTATTTTCAGTACGTCTTTTAATATAAGTGGCAAGAACAGCAGATATACTGTTATGAGTTGAACAGCTTTTTGTTTTTCAATATTCATTTTGAAACGATCTATATTCCACAGTACAAAAATAATAAGCTAAGTTCACAGATGAGACACCACCTTACCTCATATAAACTGTGTATTTGATGAAATTTCGAAAAAGTCTTTAAAAACTGCAGTGAAAAGGCTCAAATGTAAGAAGGCAAAGTTTCAGTTTCAATCCGCATCTTACATTGCATACAATCGAACTGCAGAAAAAAGTCTGTAATGTAATAGCTTAAGATTCGACTTATACTTTATATCCATTCTCTTGAATTTTCTGGACTGAATACTTACTGCAGATAACAGAGAACTAACACACAACTAAGGAATCAGAAAATCTAAGGATTATCTTTGAATATTTGCGGTATTTGTTAGACTTGATCTTGACTAGAATATGAATCTTCTGGACTGAATACTTACTGCAGATAACAGAGAACTAAACAAACACACAATTAAGGAATCAGGAAATCTAAGGATTATCTTTGAATAATCGCGTTATTTGTTAGACTTGATCTTGACTAGATGATATATTCGGCGGTATTGAAGACTGCTGGCTGGAGACTGCCCTCTGTACTGATGAGAGTCAAAGAGCTCGAAACCGATCTGTATATAGGTGTCTAGCGTGACCTGGCCAAATCGGAATCAATATGCATTCAGGAAATAATTACTTGTATCGGTATTTGTTTATACGAGTTGATGCATAGATTTCGGGAGGAGGTAACTTAATGTTCTGCGTTATGTTAGCTAGGAAAGTAGTTGTTTTTCTCCCGAAATCTACCATTGTTGTTCTTTTATGAACATTGTGTGGAAATGACTTTGAGCATTCTGTATTTATTGAGATGATAGGCTTTGAAGATGAAGGTGACAGACGAGGATGAGGTTATAGATAGTTAGGTTCGAGTTCTTCTTTTCACGATATTTTTGTATTTTTGTGAACTCTAAGCATTACGCTGTTGCCAGGGTCATATAATAGTTTGGGTTTGAATAAAATCTCGATAATTATCTGGAATATAAGGATATTCTATCATATTGGCACTGAAGCATCTTGCAGCGTCGAAATAAGTGGTTAGGTATGCTCTCATTGGTTGTTGACATAAAGATCGTTGCGAAATAAATGTGAATATATCAGGAGGTGTAAGACGCAATGAATGATTGCATCAAACACTATTTATAGTTGAAATAATCAATATAAAATAGATATGTGACGTAAATTCGACCAGTGGGTACAACACTCATAGTAGGTGATGAGATTATGAAGAGAAAAAATCGATATCCCACTCCAAATCTGAAATTTATTGCAAATCTTTCTTTGCTACTACATTTTTCGACCCCCTAGCGG